GCAGCAATTAAGATGCTTAATGGGGCTGACCCAGGAGAAGCTGAATTTCTAGGTGAAGCTAACACCATTGGGAGGCTGAACCATATGCACTTGATAGAGATGTGGGGATTTTGCTCAGAGGGAAAGCACAGGCTTCTTGTTTATGAGTACATGGAACATGGTTCCTTGGCACAAAATTTGTCTTCCAATGTGCTTGATTGGGAAAAGAGGTTTGAGATTGCTGTGGGCACAGCAAAAGGTCTTGCTTATCTGCATGAGGAGTGCTTGGAGTGGGTTTTACACTGTGACGTTAAGCCTCAAAACATACTCTTAGATTCTAATTACCAACCAAAAGTAGCAGATTTTGGCCTCTCCAAGCTATTCAACAGGGGCGGCCTTAAAAATTCAAGTTTTTCAAGGATAAGAGGAACCAGGGGTTACATTGCTCCAGAGTGGGTGTACAATCTACCTATTACATCAAAAGTGGATGTATACAGCTATGGGATTGTTGTGTTGGAGATGGTGACCGGAAAGAACCCGACAATGGGCGTGGATGTCATTGATGGTGAGCAAAGAAGGCTGATCCTGTGGGTGAGGGAGAAGGTAAATGGAACTATTGATATTGCGTCAAGGATGGGAGAGATCATAGACCCTTCTTTTGAAGGTAATTATGATGTGAAAAAGATGGAGATTTTGTTGGAAGTGGCTTTACATTGTGTCGAGGAAGACAAAGATGCAAGACCTACCATGAGCCAAGTCGTTGAGATGCTTCTGCAGCTTGAGAAAGACGAATCTCATTAGAGTGCAACAGTGAGTGATGGCTTGCTGTCCTGGGTCCGTTGTCATGGTATTATTAAGCACTACATATCACATCTAAATATAGTTTATTTTTATTTTCTTTCAACTGTCAGTTGTCATGGTCTTAAAGGCTGGTTCCCAATATAGTTTCTTCATGTTCTGTTCCTGTAAGCTGTAACACAAAAGTCATCTTTAACTTACCTTTCTGTTTCCCCATTTTGAAAGCTATAGATGTATTATTTCCATGCAAGTATGGAATGGATTACAATTTTTGTATTCTAAAAAATATATATAAAAAAATGTAGTGCAGAACTTGTAGTTTGGTGATTTAGAATTAGATCATTACATTGAGGGAGGTTGGGAGGTTCATCGAAGGTGAAGACTTTGCTTAAGTTTCTCCCATTTATTCATGGGTTATTCATGCGTTACAATCTCTTGAAACTTCTGAATTATTTTATGTTTTTGACTTTTTCTCTCTATTGCTGCCCTCAACAGTTGGGATGAATGGCTACTAGGGGTGGGCAATCAGGCCGAGATTCCGAGAAGCTGGCCAAACGTTTGATCTGATTTTAAAAAAACAAAATTAGGGCTTGTTCAATATAAATCTCTACATTTTCTATTTCTTAGACATATACCCATCATTCTATAAATCTATGTGTAAAACTCAATTTTAAATTTAAATGACCAGTAGGATATAGTCGTAGTATTTTTATGTTTTTACATCGTTGCCACTAAACTTCATATTTTATTTATAACTAACCTCTTGGCACATGCTCACGCATGTGCCAATTGGTTTTATTTTTTATTTTTTATTTTATTTTTAGAATTAATAAAATATAACATGGGTAGTTATATTCCATAAAAGTAGGAACTATTATCTGATTTTGTTTTTAATTTAATTTTTTTTAATATGAAAAAAGTGAATTTACCATATTATCATCATTTCATTAATAATTTCAATTCTTAATGTTTGAATTAACCAAGGCTATTTTTTGGTATTTTGAATGTTTCACCATTCTCTGCCTTTGCTTTATATATATATATATATATAGATTTATTTCAAGCATTTAATTAACTGCCATAATTGTAATTAATATACTCCCTATTAATAGCATACCAATCACCCTATTTCTTTTAGTTGTCATTCCCTCTCACATCTCACCCCCTAAAATTGCAAACAAAAAAAAAATCTATAAATTACATATCCAATAATTTACCTATGAAAAATATAATATAAATATATACATATAAAATAGGGAGTTTCACTAAAACACCCAAAATGGGGGCTGAAATTATAAAAAAACTCAACACCCAAAACACTTTATAAACACACCCAAATCTCATCATTACATACACTCAAAACTCATTTATAAACACACCCAAAAAATATACAATTGTTGATTTTGGGTGTGT